TGGTCATTGAAATAATACACGTGGACGAGGGCGTGGTCGAGGACGAGGCTGTGGATATTTTAATCTAAACCAAAGCCATAATCAGAACCATAATTCTGGTCATGGACAAGGTAATAGTCGTGGTCGTGGCCAGAAAAGGAATAATTACCATTCTTCACAAAGAAACAATGTCCATACACAAGATAAGGCCAAAGTGGCAAGGCATGATACTGGGACATCACAAAAATCTGATGGTTCATATTATAGATGTGACAGCACAGGCCGTTGGTCAAGGACCTGTCTCATACATGTACATCTTTGTCAACATTATCAAGAGTCCATTAAAGGAAAAGGAAAAGAAGCAAACCTCGTTGATAATGTTGAATTCACTCCACTAACTTTTGTTGATTTTTACAATGACATGGAAGACATAAACTAAAAAAAAAAATTCTATTATTGTTCTAATAAACTTGTTTTTCCTTTATCTATTTTTCATGTAGTGTCTTTCCTACAATAAATTAACTTTCTTTATAATAATTATTATGATTATGTTTATTCGCTTATTATTTCTTTCATATGTGAAGTTTAATATGAATCCAACTGGAGCACAACACCAAGAAAAGGTTGGAGATCTTTGTATAGCAGATAGTGGTAGTACGCATACTATTCTGAAATCAAAGAAATATTTTTCTAAATTAGTACCAACAAAAACAGTCATACATACAATATCAGGTCTTGTAGACTTGATAGAGGGAACTGGGAAAGTCCATTTTATATTACCAAATGGTACAAGATTTTGTATAGAAAATGCCTTATTTTCTCCAAATTCTAATAGAAACTTACTAAGTTTCAATGACATATATTTCAAAGGATATGACACAAAAACTGTGACCATTAAAAATAAGAAATATATGTATATTATAGACAAAAAGCATGTTCTTGAAAAACTACCAACACTTGATTCTGGTCTGCATTATACATATATAAATATGGTTGAATCAATTATGGTAATAAAAGGAAAACTTTGTGATCCTGGGACATTCAGTTTATGGTATGATAGGGTGGGCCACCCAGGATTAACAGTGATACGAAGGATAATTGATAATACGCATGTGCATCCATTGAAGGACCAAAAGTTCCCTCAATCTAATAGAATAAAACCATGTGCATCTTATTCCCTTGGAAAGTTAATTATAAAACATTCTGCAATGAAAGTTGAAAGAGAGTCACCTAGATTTCTAGAAATAATTCAAGATGATATATGTGGACTGATTCACCCACCATCTGGACCATTTAGATACTTTATGGTCTTAATAGATGCATCCAGCAAATGGTTTCATGTTTGCCTATTATCAACTCGTAATATGGCATTTGCAAAGTTTCTTGTCCAAATTATTAAATTAAGGGCACATTTCCCTGGTTATACTATCAAAAGTGTGAGACTTGATAATGCTGGTGAATTTTCTTCACAAGCATTTAATGATTATTGTTTGTATGTAGGAATTGTTGTTGAGCATCTAGTTGCTCATGTACACACACAAATGGTTTAGTTGAATCACTGATTAAACGTCTCCAACTAATAGCCAAACCATTGATAATGAGGACCAAACTTCCTGTTTCTGTTTGGGGCCATGCAATCTTACATGTTGAATCATTGATACGCATGAGACCAAGTTCATATCATGTATATTCTCCACTACAACTTGCTTTTGGTCAAGAGCCAAATATATCCCATTTGAGAATTTTTGGATGTGCAATATACGTCCTTATTGCACCACCTCAAAGGACAAAAATGGGTCCTCAAAGAAGGTTGGGAATATATGTTGTTTATGAGTCGATTTCTATTATAAGATATCTTGAACCATTAACATGTGATGTTTTTCCAGCAATCCTAGAAGATTGCCAATTTGATGAGGCAGGTTTCCCATCATTAGGGGGAGAAAAGAAGACTCAGGAAAAGGATGTGTCATGGCATGAACCTTCTTTATCATATCTTAATCCTTACATAAAGCAATGTGACATGGAAGTTCAAAAGATAATGTATTTCCAAGAAATGGCAAATCAATTACCTGATGCATTTACTGACACAAAAAGGGTGACTAAATCATATATACCAGTTGTTTATGTTCCAGCTCGAATTGAAATTCCACATGGACAATCTGATGATAAAGTGACTCAAAAGTTTAAAACACGCCTGAAGCGTGGAAGGCCATTTGGTTCTAAGGATAAGAACCCATGAAAAAGAAGAAGAGCAGAAAATGCACTAGATCATGAGGAAAGAGTTCCTCGAGAAACACAAATTATTCAAATCCCCCCAGGAAAGGAGGATGATGCACAAAATTATGGTTAAACAAATAGAATATGTAACCAAAATAAAACTGACAATGTAGGTGCAATATTTTCTCATTCAGTTGTATGTGATATTATGAATGATGATCCCGAACGACAATCTGTCATTGAATGTCAAAGAAGAAATGATTGGGCTAAATGGAAGGAAGTTATGCAAGTTGAATTAAATTCTCTTAACAAGAGAAAGGTTTTTAGGACCATTATCCTCACACATGAAGTTGTGAAACCATTAGGATATAGATGGATCTTCGTACGAAAAAGAAATGAGAAAGACGAAATTGTAAGATACAAGGTCAGACTTGTTGCTCAAGGTTTCTCTCAAAGACTTGGAATTGATTATGAAGAAACTTAATCACCGGTAATGGATGCAACCACTTTCAGAAATTTAATTAGCTTGGCAGTATCTAAAAAATTAGAGATACGTCTTATATGTTGTTACAACTTACTTGTATGGATCACTTGATAATGATATCTATATGAAAGTCCCTGAAGGATTTAAAATGCCTGAAGCATTAAGTGCAAAACCCAAAGAAATGTATTCTATAAAATTACAAAGATCTTTGTATGGGTTAAAGCAATCTGGGTGCAGGTAGTACAATCGTTTAAGCGATTATTTGACAAGTAAAGGTTATAAAAATAACACTATATGTCCATGCGTATTTATTAAGAAATCAACATCCGGATATGTCATCATTGATGTCTATGTTGATGATCTAAACATTATTGGAACAAATAAAGAAATACTTGAAGTAATTGAACTTTTGAACAAAAAATTTGAAATGAAAGACCTTGGAAAAACCAAATATTGTCTTGGTTTACATATTGAGCATATGCCTAACAGAATACTTGTGCATCAATCAAATTACACAGAAAGAGTCTTGAGACGTTTCAATATGGACAATACCAATCCTTTAAGCACTCAAATGGTTGTTATATCATTAAATATTGACAAGGATCCATTTTGTCCATGCGAAGAAAAAGAAAAAGTCCTTGGTCCAAAAGTACCATACATTAATGCAACTGGATCTCTTATGTATCTTACCAATTGTACTAGACATGACATTTCTTTCGCTGTAAACTTGCTAGAAAGATTTAGTTCAGCCCCAACAAAAAGACATTGGAATGGAATCAAACATATTTATCGATACTTTCGAGGAATGAGTGATTTAGGGTTATTTTATCCTAACAATTCAAAACAAGGCTTGATTGGTTATGCCGATGCAGGTTATTTGTCTGATCCTCATAAAGCTAGATCGCAAACTAGATACGTATTCATGAATGGAGGTATTGTAATTTCCTAGTGTTCTCAAAAGCAAACACTTGTTGCCACATCCTCTACTCATTCTGAAGTAATTGCACTAAATGAAGCTAGTAGAGAATGTACATGGTTAAGATTGATGACACAACTAGTTTTAACTTCATGTGGATTTGAAAAGGATATAAGCCCAACTTTAATTTATGAAGATAACTCAACATGTATCACTCAAATGAAAGAAGGATATATCAAGAGCGACATGACAAAACATATATTTACAAAGTTTTTTGAGTACACTCAAGAGCTTATAAAAAACCATCAAGTTGAAACCAAATATGTTTAATCCAATAACAATGCAACATATCTTTTTACAAAGACACTTCCTACTGTAATCTTCAGGAAACACGTCCATGGCATCGGAATGCGACATTTACATAGAATATAATGTGACAAATATCTAAATAAGGGGGAGTCAACTATACACTACACTCTTTTTCCCTTCACTAGAGTTTTTTCCCACTGAGTTTTCTTTAACAAGGTTTTTAATGAGGCAGTACTTCAAAATTGATCTCTAATATGAAATGATGTCATCAAAGGGGGGTGTTGTAAATAATTGATGGATGACACAATAATTGGTGCATGGTAATTTTGTCAACATTTCTTATTAGTCACCATTAAATGTAGATAATAACATTTGTAGCATATATACTCTTCTACTGTAAAGAATTGGATGCACGATGAGATACATTTTCACAAGATAAAGTATTTCATATCCCTTCTAAATCTTCTTTTTTCTCCATCAAATTTCTTTATCAAAGTTACTAGTTTGGTTTGGTTTAAAGTCACATTAATTATGCTTAATTTATAATACATACACACACACACACACATATATATATATATATATATATATATATATATATATATATATATGTACACACACATACACTCGACGGGTATCCAGTAAGTAGCAGTTCCAAAAAAATAAGAACCGCAATCGGAACCGCTTAAGACGGTTCCATAATTTTAGGAACCGGAACCAAAACCGCTTAAGGCGGTTCCAATATCAGAATTGTTCCGATTCCGAAAACGGATACCCGATTTCGATGCTCATCCTTACTCCCTCTCTTTCACTCTCATGTCACAAAACATAATAACCATACATACAAAGTGAGTATTCTTAGTCCAAACTTCACAAGTCATCTAATCTAATGGAGAACTATATACCCAACAAAAATATTAAAATAAAAATTTGGAAAAGTGATGATTGTTTTTATGAAGATAAATATATATTTTAAAAAAACATATATTGTTTTTCTGAACAAATAAAAAATGATTGTTTTTTAAACTTATAAGACCGTAAAAAAGAGTTATCTTGTAATTCAAAGAAATAAATAAATAAATATCAAATAAACATATTTGATTCGAGTGAGGTCTTCCCTAACTTTTACAAGGATGGATGAACAGATTTGAATTACAATAGAAACCCTCGCAAAAGCAACAATGGCGGATGAATCACCACCAGGAGAACCAGCAGCAACATTGTTCCCGGTTTTCAATCAAAACCCCACAACCACCTCCGAACCAATAAACCCTCTACAAGTCTCTAATTCCAACGCTCCAGGCTGGCTCAGCAACACCAGCTTCACCGCCGACATCTCTACCATCAACGACGTCGTATCCACTCGCTACCATCACTACAGCGAACCCGACGACGACGACGAAGAAGAAACAGCAGCAGAAGCAGAGGAGAGGCGGCCGCAGTCTCGTTACGAATTGGTGGACTCTTCGGCATCGGATCAGGACATCGACGGGAATAACCACAGCAGCAATAAAAAGGAGAAACGGAAACGGAGAAAGACAAAGAAGGGAGCGGCAAGCAGTGGTTACGAATATGGACCTTCTTCTAGGAAACAAAACATTCAATCGTGGGCAAATAATGCTACCACTTCATCTGCAAACAAAGAGTATTACTTCGATTCTCGCGGTGATCGTGATAATTTGGCTTTTGGCTCTCTTTACAGGTAAAACCTACTGATTAATTTTCGAAAAGTATATGCAATTGAATTAACATGGGGGCAACCACCTGTAATAACAAACTCATCATTTCCCCCCTTTTTGAAATTAGAATCGATATATTGTAAAAACTCAACATTATGATTTCTCAATTTGAAGAAATGAGTACACCTTATTTATTGCAATCTATTCCTCCCTTTTCTTGTTGACTGTTTTGGAATGGGATTGCTTGTATGATTTATATTGCAACATCCTGATTCTGAAATGGTTTTTACTACAATGCAGAATGGATGTTGCCCGATATAAACTCTTCCATGGAACCAAGTCTTCTGGATTTAACTCCAATGTATTCCATTCTTCAAACGCTAGGAGTTGGGGGTTTGATGGAGATAATGATGTAAATTCATTAGACACTAAGCTTAGATCCGAAGGTCGTTATTGGTCTGCTAAGTATGCTGCATTGGAGCACCATAAGAACTTTAAACGCCTTAGAATCATTGCCCCTAAAGACTCCACCCCAGAACTTGGTACAGATTTTGTACCACTTTCAGATGAGTTGACTTCTTCCAATGGTCAAGATTCTTCATTGGTTGAAGAATCATGGGAAGATGAGGTGTTACGAAAGACTAAAGAGTTCAATATAATGACTAGGGAGCATCCATATAATGAGAAATTTTGGTTAGAATTTGCTAACTTTCAAGATAAGGTTGAAAGTAGGCAACCACAAAGAGGTGCTAGATTACAAACATTGGAGAAGAAGATTAGCATATTGGAAAGGGCAGTTGAGGTCAATCCTGATAATGAAGAACTGCTTCTTGCACTTATGAATGCGTATCAAAGAAGGGATAATAATGATGTGTTGATTGGTAGATGGGAGAAGCTACTTATGCATCATTCTGGAAGCTATAAACTTTGGAGGGAGTTTTTGAGAATTGTTCAAGGGGATTTTTCAAAATTTAAGGTTTCTGAAGTGAGGAAGATGTTTGCCAATGCAATACAGGCTTTGTCAGCTGCATGCAGCAAACAGCATAGGCAGGTGCATATTTTTAGATGTTTATGCTATATTTATGCTGTTTTATTATTATTATTATTATTATTATTATTATTATTATTATTTTATTTGATGGGGACAAAACTTAATTGGGTAAGCTATATATGAGAGTTTCTTTTTGAGTTAATGCATAAAGAACGTGCTAATAGAAAAAGTTAAGGAAATGAAACTTTCCTCGTAAAGTCTTTGCTTTTTACAAAATTGCCCTTGTTTATTTTTTCCTTCCATTTCCCCAAGATTCTTGCTTGTTACTGTTAATGAAAACTTCAAACACAAAGATTTTCTTTAATGATGCATTGGTTCTAGGAAACAGACAAATCATTCAGCTTCTTATTACTTATAAAAAAGTGGGCTAAATTCAAGACATACCAACATACTCTCATTTATTTGTGTATTATAGCATCCCAGTTTCATTTCTTTCTATTGCAACATTGTGCTTTGAATACTCAACTGAATTATAGCATTTTGTTTTCTATCTTTTTCTTATTAGGACATTTTTCTTTGAAAAAACTGACCCAATTTCAGCAGTGGAAAATGAAAGTTGCTTTGTATTTGGATATGACATTGCTATAATTGGGTAGATTTTTCAAATTACAATATTGTTTATAGGAAGAAATACAATTACAATGCTATAATAAACCAAATAAGGTAAATACTAAGCACCCTTCTATTTTTGCATTTAACCCTAAGCAAAATTAGTTTTTACAGTTGTGTAGGAGAAGGGTTTGACAAAATAGAAAGCCTAACAATTCAGAATGATGTAGTTATTTGGAAACAGATCTACTGAGTTCAAGAAAGCCTCACTTCACGAATAAAAGTGACTCTTTTTATACCTAGTTGAAAAACTTCTATATTGCAATCTGAACTTTCTTTCAACTTCATGACATATCTTTTTCTTCAATTTAGTTTCTGAATTCCTATTCTCTTTCATCTTTGAGCATTTTGGTGTTATTTTTTCTTGGAAGCTGCTAATTCTTGATTCTCTAATTCTCATGATGCAGGCTCACCAGAATGATATGGTTGACCAAGAACTTGGACTGGTCAACATATTTGTGAGTTTATGCCATTTTGAGTGGCAATCAGGCTATCAAGAATTGGCTACAGCTCTATTTCAAGCTGAAATAGAATACAGTTTATTCTGTCCATCTTTACTTCTTTCTGAACAAGGTAAACAGAGACTGTTTGAGTATTTCTGGAATAGCAGTGGTGCAAGAATTGGGGAAAATGGGGCTCTTGGGTGGTCAACATGGGTGGAAAAAGAGGAAGAACAGAGGCAAAAGGTAATGATGGAGTCTTCTGATATTGTTGATGAAGGGGGGTGGACAGGGTGGAGTGAATTAAAAGAAAATCGGGAAAATGAAGAAGATATGGGAGCTGATGATGTGGGAATGGAGGGAAATGATAATGATGATGTGGAAGAGAAAGAGAAAGAGAAAGATGATACTGAGGCTTTGATGAAGTTGCTTGGTATTAATGGTGAAATTGAAGGAAATGGTGAAGTGGAAGATGTTTCAACTTGGGTTAAATGGTCTGAAGAAGAGTTGTCAAGAGATTGTGATCAATGGATGCCTATTCGTACAGAATCTGGTATTTTTTGTTTTTTTGTTTTTTAGGCTACTTCACTTTTCTATTGCAGTTTTCTTCTTTCTTTTTGACTTAATGAGGACACAAATTAAGGGCATGTTTCTTCTTTCTTTTTGACTTAATGAAGTCAGTTCATTACACACAAAGAGCTTTTTTTGACTGAGAAAACTGTTTGAATGTGAGCGAATGACCATTTTGCCCTTGTAACATTTCAACAAACATACATCAATATCTTCATCATTTTTGACAATTGAACATATACACAAAGAACATTTTTTGACTGAGAAAACTGTTTGAATGTGAGTGAATGACCATGTTGCCCTTCTTAACACTTCAACAAACATACGTCACCATCTTCATCATGTTTAACAATTGAACATATACACAAAGAGCATTTTTTGACTGAGAAAAATGTTTGAATGTGAGTGAATGACCACTTTGCCCTTGTAACATTTCAACAAACACACATTACCATCTTCATCATTTTTAACAATCGAACATACACAAAGTCACAAAGAACATTTTTTGGCTGAGAAAACTTACTGAATGTGAGTAAATGACCATTTTGCCCTTTTAACACTTAAACAATCATACATCACTATCTTCATCATTCTTAATAATTGACAAATGCAAGCATCATTTTCTTAAATAATTCTCTTAGATGGGTGGTGGGGAAGATTGGAGGCTTTTCTTTGTGTCTGTATCCATAAGGAATGTGGTTTGGGTAGAAGGGCAAATAAGTAAATATATGTGTCTGTTTGTAGAAAGCCACATATCTTGGCTTAACCCATAAATCCCTTCTTTATGGATCAAGAAAAAATTAAGTTGTAACTTTTCTTCACAAAATTTTCCTCATTTATTTTCTCACATATGCTATCATTTTCTCAAATACTTTTTTACAATTATTCATTCCAGACATCACATCATGATAATGAATGAAGTTTAACTTTTAAAAGCAGGAAATGCACTTGAGAATGTGGTCACAGATAAAGAAGGTGATGAAGAACAACTTTTAAGAACAGTATTATTTGAGGATGTGAGTGAATATTTGTTCTCAATAACTACAGATGAAGCCCGTTTATCATTGCTATACCATTTTATTGATTTCTTTGGTGGAAGAATTCCTCAGTGGTTAGCTTCTTAACTTTTACAGTTTTACTTCACTCTCCTTTATCTCTATATAATTTGATCACACTTCTCTATGATTTTAAAAAATTGTTTTTTTCATTTTGTGTAGGTGTTCAACTAATAGTTCAAGTTGGGCTGAAAAAACCCTAGTTATGGACTCATTACCAGATTCTATGTTAAATGACTTGAGAAAAGTTGAGGAGATATTAACAAAAACAGATGAGAATTACAGTTTAGAACATGTTTTAAACAGCTCTGATAACATAAACATGAGAAGTGAAATGATGAAATTTGTTAGAAATGTTAGTTTACAATGTTTAAATGTATTTCCACATGATCATATTTTAAAAGAAGCTGCACTTGTTGCTGAAGAGCTTTCAAACACAAAGATGAATTCCTTCAGTGTTGCTATTACTCCATGTAGGACGTTGGCTAAAAGCCTCTTGAAAAGCAATCGTCAGGTATGTTTATTTTGTTTATATTTAATTATTTATTCAATATAAAAATACGTTTTATATAACTAAATACATACAGGATGTACATTTATGTGGTGTTTATGCAAGAAGAGAAGCTGCATTTGGGAATATAGAATATGCAAGAAAAGTATTTGACATGGCATTATTATCCATTGAAGGGCTTCCTTGGGTAAGAAATAAAAATCAAGATTATCTTCACTTTACAACACTTGAGATAACATGATAAATAATTAAATATCATTTAATTTTATATTATAAAACAGGATCCCAAATCAAACGCCTCACTTTTATTCCTTTGGTATGCTGAACTTGAACTTGAAATTTCCAACAACAATTCTTCTAGAAGCTCAGAGGCATTATCACGAACATTACACATTCTTTGTTGCTTGGGATGTGGGGTAAAATATAGTCAATTCAAAAGTCAACCATCAAGTTTACAACTGTTAAGGGCACGTCAGGGATTTAAAGAACAAATAAGGGTAATTCAGGGAATTTGGATTCATGGGAGTATTGATGAAAATTCTGTTGCTTCTATTTGTTGTGCTTCTTTATTTGAAGAGTTGACTTCTGGATGGGAATCTGGAATAGAAATTTTAAATCAATCTCTTTCCATGGTGCTTCCAGGTGATTTCATGATCATTTTAAATCAGTTAACTTTTTCATATTTAATTTTGTTAGATTGTAAAATCTGCTTAGTTATTGTGTATAACATAATCTTTATAAATACAGAAAGGAGAAGCCAAAGTCATCAACTTGAATTACTATTCAACTTTTATATACAAATGCTATGGAAGCATCATTCTGAAGCAGAACTTGCAAATATTTGGAAAACTTTGGTGCAAGAATTACAGATATACCCCTTCAGTCCTAAACTCTATAATACACTTATTCAAATTGGACATCTTCATACTTCCCCTAGTAAGCTTCGACGGATCATTGATGATTACTTACACAAGTAAGATCAAAATTTTAATCTGTCCTCATAGGGGTAATTGTGTCATTAGTATGAATCTTTGAAACTCAACTATGTTGTTGTGGTATTTACAGGAAACCATCAGTGAGTGTTTGTCTGTTTGCATTATCGTATGAGATTAGAAAAGGAAGTTCTCATCATAGAGTACATAGAATCTTTGAAAGGGCATTGAGTGACAACATGTTGAAAAGTTGTGTACTTTTATGGCGTTTATATTTGTCGTATGAAATCCATGTCACACGTGACATGTCAGCAGCTAGAAGAATTTACTTTCGTGCCATTCACTCGTGTCCATGGTAATATACCATCTTCATCTTTTACAATTTCAAATTTCAAATTTCAAATTTCAAAATATCTTGTTTGTTAACCCAAAATTTGGTGACATTATGTGTATTCTAGGTCAAAAAGGCTATGGCTTGATGGATTTGTGAAACTAAGCTCTGTGTTAAGTGCAAAAGAGCTCTCGGATTTGTTGGAAGTTATGCGTGACAAAGAGATGAATGTGAGGACGGATGTATATGAAATCCTTTTGCAAGATGAGATGGATGTGTCCAAATAAGTTTAGGCAAAAATGGGGATTGTATATTACATGTTGTAAGGCTCTAGTTTTTCTTTTTATTAAAAAGGAAATTGTTTTAGTTTCTTCAAGTCTTCGTATATAGGCCTCAAGCGAAAAGGTATTGTATACAGTTGAACATGACATCACATAATAGTTGTACTGTGTTTGGTATGTATTGAATCAAGATCAATACTCATGTCAATAGGACAACATAAAAAACTGTAATTTATCTGAGACTGAATGAAACCGATGTCAATAGGATGAAAAATGGAATACCACAAATTATAATGAATGGAAATTTTATTGGTGATTAAAGGTATATTTATTTTAATTGTCCCATCCAAAAAGGCTAAGCAAGCTTGTGTAAGGAGTTGTCCTTGATTTGTTCGTTTGTAGAAAAGATGTGAACTTGTGAAGGCTTTCTCCATCTTTCATGCAAAAACTATTAGTTAATTTAGTTTTTGGTAAATTAGTTGGTGGGTCATAAAATGGATGGATAAAAATAAATAAGTGGGTGTTTGGGATTGTTTATTTAGTACATATATTAGCTATATTACTTTATACTTTTATATATATATATATATATATATATATATATATATATTATAAAAATGATTCTTAGCAATAGTAAACTGATGGATTTTTTTGACAAAAATGGTCTTTTAACTAAATTTGGGTATTTTGTATCAATATCTAGATTTTGATAGTATCTTTTTGACTTTTAGGTTTTTACCATAAATCTTTGGAGCATTTAATATTTTTTGTCCTTCAATTCAAAACTTTTATATTTTTGCGTTTTCATTAAAATTTTCTGTTTTTTGGTTTTTGCCACAAAACTTTAGTGAGTTTGACACTTTTAGTCCTTACAGTCAAAAGTTTTACATTTTTGATGTTTTTACCACAAATCTTTTATGAATTTGACACTTTTCGTCCTTGTACTAAAAACTTTTACATTTTCACATTAAAAAAACCTCATTTTGAATTTTGTCACCATATTTTTCCAACTTTGGAAACTTTAACATTATTGCCACAACATTTTTAAATTTTCGCCAACAGTGTCCATTCTTTTGGTTGTACACTTTTGAAATCTAATTTTAGAGGCTGTTGACTTTCTCCCATATTTGTGGTGATTTACAATTTCAGCACATATCTTTTAAAGTTTGCCGATTTTTCCCAGATTACCCCAAAAACGGCGTAGCTGCAGCCTCTTTATTAGTTAAATACTAATAAGTTTATGTGGTAGCAATATGTTTGTTTGAAAAAAAATTGAATTGGTTTATGAAGTTTTAAAATGTCCAAACGTTGATAAATTATTTTTTGTTTTTGATAAATTCTAATTCTAAATGTGAACCAAAACAAAAGTTTATCGTGCATATTATTATTGTTCTTTATATATAATGATTTATTATCATTTGTAATTATATTTTAGTAGAAACTATATAACATTAAAAATATCTTTTAGAATAAACAATTATTTATATAAAATTAAATATAAAAAATAACTTTATAATATTTAAAAAAATTATGTTGCATCAGGATATATCACAATATATAAAAAAGAACACTATTTAGTGGAGTTCTTATGATTAATATAAGACAAAATTACATGTTGGTTGTTAGTTACAAGAAAAACTAAGATATAATAGATTGTAGAATAAAACCCCATACATCTCCATTTGAAGAATATGAAAATTAGTTGTCTTAATTTACTCATGGCATGATCCATGAAGTAATCTTTAAGTGTTGTTATTCCAATACTTAAAATCTCTATTTTCAAGTACTCATCAATATTGGTGGCACGACTTTGCTATGTTCATCCCTATTAATAATTTACCAATGCTATGGCAATCTTAATTCACTACCATCTTCCAAGAGTGAGATTGATTGTTGAATGTTCGAATAATAAATTATTTTGGAACGGATTCTATGTTGGATAAGGTGTCTAAGTCCATAACTTATTTGGTATATACTTGACCCGACCCGGCATGGTCCATTTGGGTTGCATTTCATCCAAACTATTTATGGATAATTTTATGAGAGTTATACACATATGTTTATTAATATATTGTAAGTTATAATATATTAATATGAAGTTATTTAATTAGTCTTAGTCTTAAATTAATTATGAATTAATTTAGAGATTAAAAGGTAGACTAATTAGATTGTGGGCTATTGGTTTTATATGGTGTGGGCTAACACTCATTTGTTAATGGGCTAGGCTTGTATGGAAGTCCATGGATGATCTATGGAGCTTTTAACCCATGGATCCTTGGGAAATGAAAGGTCATGGGTTATTAGGGTTTCACCCTAATCATGTACACTATATAAGCATGCTTATGTTGCATGAAATAGCCACTAGTGTCACTAGTGTGTGTGTTTGTGTGTGGCCGATTTTATAAGTGTGTATACACTCTCTCAAAGTTTTCCAAGAGTTTGTGGTGATTTGTGATTCCATTTGAGGCATTCACACTATTGGTGCTTGGCCCTCAAACTCCTTAAGAATCAAACTCATCAAAAAGGTATGTAATCTCATCTAATTCTTTTATGTTTAAAAGTACCCCATGCCATGTTAGATAGGTTATGAACCTTGGAAAATTATTATTTTGCATGTATTTAGACAAACATAGATCCAAGGTTTATTAGGGTTGCATGCACACTTACGAAGTGTTAGATTGTTCAAAACCCAACAGTGGTATCAAAGCCTAGGCTTGCTTGTTTGATACTTGATGCAAAATAGTGAAAAAAGTCGAAATTTTTGCTGTCCGCATGATGGACTCACCGAGTCCATGGGGGGACTCGCCGAGTCCAAGGCAAAATTCATCCTACTCGCCGAGTAGGTTCGTGCACTCGGCGAGTAGAAGGTTCAGAATGCAGATTTTCGACTTTTGCTGCTGGAAATGGACTAGAAACTTTACCATAAACTATTTTGATGTTTTAAAACTTATTTTAGTTGGTGTAATGGTTGTTCTAATCCATTTACAATAGCATATATCAAAACTTCATGCTTTGTATGTGTTCATATAATTCTTGAAACTTTGATAATCATGTTCATGTTCTTATGAATTTAGAAGATGATAGGAATTATTTGCTGAATTGTTTAGGATTAATTCTTGATCATTTATGTGTTTTAATGGAGTCCATAATTTGTCCTCAAGTTATGGATATCCAAAGGTCACTTTTCTTTAACACACATTAAAAACACATAAGTTACATAAAATGAAGATTCTTCATTTTATGAACCTTTAATTCATAAGTTATGAAATGAAAAGTTTTGAGGAGTTACAAAACTTGCCCTCAAGTTTTGGAATTTGGAAAAGTTTCACACACTTTAATAAACTTTAATTCCAACACTTATACTATTTATAACATTAATGGTTAATTATTATATATATGTATAAGAACAAGTCGTTTTACCGTTAGTAGGCCTCATTCACGAAGCCGGTCTATAAGGTGGGTATAAGGTTGTTGCCTATAAAATGGCGACTTAATGGGTGTCCACTCTCACCCACCGCTTGCTTGATCGGTGGAGGGTCGTTAGCCGAACGGGTAGGACAATGACTTTAAATTCTCATTAAAAGTATAATGATTATTATAAAGTAACTAAATATTTTTTTATTTAATTCCCAATCTTAGTTACTTTAGGAAAAATGTGAATTTGGTGCTATCCCATGGAATTCACACTTTGTACCTTACCAAGTCGTTGGTGGAGCGTGTGTGGTTAACCGGCACACTAACTTGGACTAGTAAGGATCACGAAGGGTGACTTAATGTTTGTCATAGATCAATGGAGCGTGTGTGGTTAACCGACACATTGATTAGGTGATAATATTAAGGGTACCAAGTGAATTGGTATGGTTATTCACACCTTGTTTTGTGATCCTCGGCATCCCAGTCACAAAATTTGAGAGGACACACTTGAGATTGAAACATGCCATTGAAAAGTTCAATGAATCTCAAAAGATCCAGGAATTTCAAATCCAATTAAAACCTAATAAATTATTTCGTTTTTCATGGTGGAAATTGGTGAATCTTCATTCGCCTACCTTCAAATATTTTATAGCTTGGATTACGGCATCCCTCTTCCAAGTTATAAAATATTGTGTTGGGTCCTAGCCTTAATGTTTCATATTGGGTGTTATATTAAGGATTTTGAATCAACTAACTTGATTTTCTCCTATTATAGATGTCTAGTTCAGACAACTATGATCTTCCCAAATCCCTTGAAGATGGTGTCCCTCAACATCATGCTTCATTTCCTCCACCTCCTCCATTTATTCTCCCAAACCCACAAGTTTAAGGTCACTCAAGCCCTGTTGGCAAGCAAGATCTATATGTGATCACATCTTGGTGATGAAGTCACATATTGACAAGCCGGGAGAGTTGGATGTCAAAGTCTCGTGAAAGTTGGATGTTCAATCATTTTCTTAGTAACATAGTGAGTCTCTTTGGGACTACAATGAGACAGACTATGACATGACCCTTAATGATCTTATCTATTTGCTTTGTGCTGCGGAATCAGCAATGATTTGGAACACTAGTAAAGCAAATTTTATTAGAAGATCAACTTCCCAAACCTTAAATGGACATTGGCAATGGTAGCATTGGATATCTAGAAAAGCATTTCTCTTCCCAATGGAAAGGGATCGGCCATAGTCAACTCGGTTGACCAAATGGTAAAGAGAAAGGCTAAGTCTGAGATAGTCTCATGTGCCATTACCAAAGGGTATGTATGTTTTATTGCCAAAGGAAGGGACACTGATTGCGAAGCTGCCATATTTACCTGAAAGATCATAAGATTGATCAAGTCAAAAAGTTTGACTCTACTTCAGTTAAAGTCCACTATCTAACTCTATTAAGTTCCTATTTGGAGATTCTTATTACATAATGTGAATGGGTCACATGCTGATGTTTTAAGAATCAAAGAAAAGATAGGAAGCTTAAAGTAAGTATATGTTGATTCTGATTGCGAATGTGGGTTTCGATCGCATGGTTCGGTAATCAGAATTTTGAGCTGTTGCTTAAGAGTTATAATATATTACTTAGGAATAGATAACAACAGGGGTTCATGTGGATTGTAAGGATAAGTTTTTCCGCAAAGTTTTAAAAAAAATAAAAAAAAGGGTTTTAATTTTATTTATTTTAAAAAATATCCTTACAATGGCATCTGTGGAAAATTGTTGCTTGTATGTTTCCAGTAATAGCAATATTGGAAAGTGGATTTGATTCTTTTATTTGTGGTAGTGTCTGAATTTACCAAATGAAGAAAGTTTTTCATCACCCAAGTTTCAATTGGACAAAAAACTTGGAATCATACA